TTGCACCAACGGCTCCCTCGCCCGCGCTGGACAAAATTTGAAGTCAAGACCAGTTCAGGTCGTTATTCTTTATGACCGGCCGTCTTGCATGGACACAATGATACATAATGCGAAAGGTTGTGGTGAGCATGACCCAAAAAAGCCAACCGCTTTGTGAAACAATTCAATCCGACCGGTCTGCGTTGAGTTCATAGCCCTCGAGTACACTGCGGGACCAGTACCTGGCACAATTGGGTCACACGCTCTGCATCCCAGACCAGTGCCGGTTCCTGCACGCCCACATACCGCTCACCAGAACCAGCTCAGAGCGCCTGTTTGTCGGTGCTTTAGTGGTTAAACGTTGGCGGCCTCAGCGTCCACGCAGCGGCAAAAAAACTCACTCCCATTGTTCGAGGTGACCCCGTGACTGGCCCGCGCGGACAGAACGCCGTCGGCGCCGCCGGTACACCAGGCCACGATCGGCCCGTGCGACAGGCACTGGTCACAGCCGCACGAGGGCTTTCCGGATCCACCGGGCGCGCAGGCTGCGCCCGACAAGTTGCGACACCGCGTGCGCGGGACCCGTCGGACGCGTGTCGGCTGTTTGTCGCGGGAGCGCGCTGTTGATAGATTTCGTGGCGCCTCGCACGGGGCTATCGCTGATCGGAGCGTGCGAGGCGCGCAGTCTGAGAGCGCCTTGCAGCCAGGCTGATTGGGATGCTACTTTGGACGGCCGGTGTGCTTTTTTGGAATCTGGTGGCGGCTGGGCGAGCTAAGGTGATGGGAAATATCTGATAGTCCTGTTCACTTTGAATATACTATGGGAATCTTCTGAAAGTTACGTCTTCACGTGACTCCTGGCGAGCCAGACACAATCCGGAATTTTTCTATGGCGATATTCACGATAGGTATTGCGACTAATCATCAAACGCCTTCCATTTCCTTGCAAACGACGCTATCTGGGCGGGGGGGGGGGGGTTAAAGGTGACGAAAAATGTTGGTGATGACAGAATTTCTCTCGCTGAGGTCGGTTTCGTCAGCCGTCCGCCGTACACCTCACACAGAATAGAGCCTGCATAACAACACGTCGCAGACACTAGACACTGACACGCGCCCACGCTCCACAACACCGTCGCCCTCCGCCCATTCGGCGGGGCCCGCGCTCGGCCGGGGCGCAGCCTCCGAGCCCGTGACGGCCAGTGGGCGGTCGCCATGACACTGGGCTGCCCCGAGCGGCCGTACCTGTCAGTGGAGCCGCCGGCCACTCCCGCGCCTCGCTGGCCGACAACAAAGCAGCCGCCCCAGGCGCCCGCCGCACACGGCAGAGCGCCCTCCGTGCGGAGCCGTTGGTGGACATGCTCCCGCGCAGCGGCCGCGTCACTGGTGCACGCTCGTGGCTGCTGAGGTATCGAACGCCGCTGACTTCGGTTAGATTTTCTTGAGCGATGTAGTACGCCACGGTATCGGGGCTGCGAAAATTAGTGCAGTTTCGCTGTTGCTTTATTTCAAATTCCGATGCGAAAGCGCAGCCCTTGCTATATGGCATGGCGTAGCTACAAGCAAAAGACCACGGGACATAACCCAAGCCTCGACAGTTTTCGTCATTCACGGTTAATAAACACTTCTGGATGTTTGGGTGCGCTCACTTTGAAGCGCACGAAAACACGTCATCGACCCAAATCCGAGGCATTTCGCAAACGTCCTCGCATAGCATTTGTAGTGGCACCGAACAATCACTCACGTGCGGGGTCAAGATAGGTTCCTCTATCGCTGCTGATCAGCCTTGATCCCACGATTACAGGCTGACATTTTTCAACCGCCTACAAGACCAGAAATGAGCCTCTGACAGTCACTCAGGCTCATGACGCCCATCAGTCTTTCCCAGCGCCCACGACATGAAGTCGCAGTTTAACGACGACCATTGGGGGGCCTCATTAGTCAAGTGGCTATATCTGAGGCCTGGAATGCCTCCCCGTGCCGTGGTCTGGCCGATACTAACACACACACTGTCTGCACGAGCTCCACCCCTGCGCTCAGCGAGGTTTGCGTGCCAAGCGAAGGAAGTACGCATCGTCTTCAGCCGCCAGCAACCTCGCTCTCCCTCTCTCTTTCTTGCTCTCTCTCTCTCTCTCTCTCTCTCTCTCTCTCTCTCTCTCTCTCTCTCTCTCTCTCTCTCTATCTCTCTCTCTCTCTCTCTCTCTCTCTCTCTCTCTCTCTCTCTTTCTCCCTCTCTCTCTCTCTCTCTCTCTCTCTTCTTTTCTCTATCTGTCTCTCTCTGTCTGTCTCCTCCTTTTCTTTCTTTCTCTGCAATTTTAGCGCAATTATCCTCACTACAATTTTCTAATGAGCCCTGCCCTCGTTATCTTCTTTCCGTTTATTTCCATCGTCTTGCTCCGTTCAATATTTTCATGCTTTTCTGTTCCGTCACTTTTCTCCTCTGCCTGTGCCTCTCTTCCTGGCCACGTTTTCCCTTTTTCTCCCACGTTCTGCGATCCCCTATATGAATACGCTAGCACGCTCCCATCTTCCAGCGTTTCTCCGTGCAGTGCACAGCGGTAGCAGGCGAGCAGCGGGAAACTTCAGTGCGACAGGAAGCTCTAATCAGCCTCATGTGCCCATAAAACGCCCCTCGCCGTGCAGGGCATCCGGCAGCTCCCGTCCCCGCCTGTTGCCGGACCCCCAGCGCTGCTGTGGCCGCGGCCCGTCCGCTCACGCCGACACGCTGCTGCCTGCCAGCCCGCTGCCGCTGCTGCGGCCAACCCCCCTCCCCCGTGGCCGTCGCGTGCAGACGACTGCTCTGGGGGTGATCTGTCGCCCGCATGCTACAGCCCTGCCACTGTGAACTTCGGTGACGGCCCGGTAGTGGTTGACCCCGTTTTGGTTGTGGTAGGGGTCGGTCTGGTTTTTCTAGAGCATGTTCACGTGCTTTTATTCGAATTGTTTTTAAGCCCTCAGACCGGCAGTATGACAAGCGTCAAGAAGCTTTCACGTCCCAGGGCGTGTGCGCCTGTACTGACGTGGCCCGTGTCGCTCAGCTAAAAACGAGCCGTCGGGAAACAATGCGTCAAAGGTCGCTGGTTGGATGACCGCGATTGCGGCGATGCCGACTGGGCAACACAGACGTCCACGATAGGCATCTGCGCTCGCACTCACAACGGCTGACGGCCCTCCGCCTGCAGGGCGTCTGGTCTTCACTGGACGAGGAAGACCAGGTCACCACGCGGCACCAGAAGTCCGAGAAGGCCGCCAAGCGAAGCACCACCAATCTTAACAACGACCTTCACGCCACCCGGGTAGGTGGGGTGGAGAGTGGTGGCCGGTCTGCCGGGGTAGGTAGGGTGGAGAGTGGTGGCCGGTCTGCCCGGGTGGGTGGGGTGGAAAGTGGTGGCCGGTCTTCCCGGGTAGGTAGGGTGGAGAGTGGTGGCCGGTCTTTTCCCGGGTAGATGGAGTGAAGAGTGGTGACCGGTCTGCCCGGGTAGGTGGGGTGGAGAGTGGTGGCCGGTCTTTTCCCGGTTAGGTGGGGTGAAGAGTGGTGACCGGTCTACCCGGGTAGGTGAGGTGGAAAGTGGTGGCCTGACTGCCCGGGGTAGGTGAGGCGAAGAGTGGTGGCCCATCTGCTTCTGTGTATTGTGCTTTGATTCCGACCGCCCCTGCCAGGGACCTAAAGCCTGGGATTTCCTATCCAATTCTCGGAGGCCTGGCGCAATTGTTTCCAGCGGGCTTGCCACGGTCCCGAGTAAACGTCATGCAAGATGGCGGCGTCGCGCCGACGACCGTTGTTTTCACTTCTGGGACAAGCTCCAAACGGCGCAACGCCTTTTGAGCGGACGATCCATTCCGGTTTGGCACTCACACGCGATTGGTTGTCCGGACGTTCCGGGGCGGGGCGTGCTTAGCGTGAGTAGCGTCGGCCAGGAATCCCATTCAATGTGACCTTGAGACGCTGCAGCGTACTGGAAATAAAGCTGGGTAGAATGTGCGCAGCCCCTCTGCAACCTACCGTTCGAAGACGCTTAAACTGGAATGGGGAGGTGTTTGTTCGGTATGGTAAAGCATGTGGCCCTTGCGTAAGGACTGGATCGGCCACGAGGTGTAACGACCTGCCTGATAGCTGTCACGCCGACCGTGTCGTAACGCAATTATGACACGTCCCGACACAGGCTTATGAGCTGGGGAGTGGAGCGGCCCGTGGCTTACTCACTTCCCGTGAGTGCGTAACTTCACCCTATCGCGAAATGCTGTAAATAACTCTACAAATAACGTCGGCCGTTGACTTACCCACTTTGGGAAGATATCTGTACAACCGCTGCTACACCCAGGAGCGAGTGTCGTGTGTGGTATCGCGTGTGGCCACTGGCTGGGGTCACGCACCCCAGCCGCCGCAACGTTCGGTCACACCGTGCAACAAAGCTGTGCCCTTGCAGGACCGCCAGCGGACGTCGCTGTCGAGCGAGGACGACGGCCGGCCCCGGCGCGTGTCACGCGAGCGGTCCGCATCGCCCGAGCGAGGCCCAGACAAGGTCAAGAAGAAGGGCTGGCTCTCGTCCACGCTCAGCCGACTCGACTTCAAGTCACGGAAGCATGCCGAGGCGAAGAAGGCGGAACCCAGCGGGGGCGGCGGCGGGGGACCCTCGGGCCGCGCGGTGACGCGGGCCCCGAGCCAGCCGGGCCCAGCGGCCGGCGGCCGGACGCCGCGAGGCCCGCTCCGGCAGCCGCGACAGCCGCTCTGGCAGCCGCGAGCCGCCGCGCCGGCCGGCCGGCCGCACCCCCAGCTTCTCGCAGCGCTACTTCGGCGAGAGTGACGGCACGGCGGGCGGCGAGGCGGCGAGGCGGCCGGTGCGCCGCCACGGCAGCGCCGCCGGCCCGCCGCCGCAGAGCCTCGCATCCTCCGTCAACAGCAGCGACGCCGGCCACGGCGCCAGCCGCGTCAGCAGCGGCTCCGGCCGCTCCGTCTTCCTCCACGCCACCACCGTGGCCGACATCCCGCCGCCGGAGGCCGGCGAGCTGGGCGCGCGCGCCGGCAGCCGCGGCGATCTGACCGCCGCGCCGCTCCCGGCGCGCGAACGGCGCAAGGTAGCGCGCTCGTTCTCGCTCGTCGCGCCGTTCCGGCCCAAACACCAGCGGGAGAAGGAGATCGTCTACGAGAACCAGACAGGCCAGGCGAACGGGCGGCCGCCGCGGCCGCCACAGCGGCAGCGGCGCGGCTCGCGGGACTCGCTGCTGGGGGAGCGCGAGGCCAAACAGCGCCGGCCCGTGGCGCGCTCGGTCAGCATGCCTAAGGACGCCCGCGCGGCCGGCTTCTTCAGAAGCAAGGAGAAGACGGTGCGGTAACCGGATCTACGAAACAAGGTGAGGCTGAGGGAGCGGGAGCAGGCTGGAGCGACAGGATTCCGTGGGTGTTCTCTTTCTCCGCTCAGTTGGCAGGGTATCAATTAGCTCCGGAATTTGACCTCCCGGAGTGCCTGCGCCCTCCTGACGATTTTTGGCAGCATTTCGGCTGCTAATGAGCTGTGTCATCACAAGCGGTGGAGTTAATTTGATGCGTAGCCGAACCTGCTGCTCACCTGCCACATAATCAGACATGTGGAGGAGGTGAGGACAGGTTCTACGCTTTATCGCAGAGGACTCCTGTTGTCTTAAGTGCGGCTGTACAAAACCTGCCAGCCGTAAAAAAACACCATTTAGTGACTGTCACAACTGCGTTATCGATACAGTGATAACGTCTAGAAGAAACACAACATGCTATAGCTGGCTCAGTAAAAGTGTGTGCTTACATACTATGCTACGAGACCCGAATTAATTGCTCACAATATTATTCAAGATGCCGCCGTTTGTCATAGGCGCACATTATTTTTGCATTTTAGTCAACGCAGCTGGTGCATAATCACCTTAGCTAAATATTCTGCAACATTTCACCCAAAAAAACCACAGACTTATCTTAAGGTATGTCCTTTCAAACGATGCACCCAGAATGCTAGAGCAAAGATGGACGGGCGCCAAAGGCCAGTCCATTCCTTGTCGTTGCCGACAATAGCAAATCCCCCGCTGTTTTTCACCCACGGGCTCACGTCCCCTCGATGAAGACCACCACTGACATCTTTAGAAGCCAGTGCGGCCATCCCGCAGCCGGCGCTGGTGACTCGCTGACAGTGAAACGTCTGAGCCGGGCGGCGGCCTGACCTGCTTCGCTGCCCATTCAGCAGGCCAGACCGCCCAGGGCGGGGGAGTGACCTTCCCGGCCGCTCCCCCGCCGTGCGTGACCTCCCATCGTGCCCCGGTGACGCGGAGAAATGGGACGCGCCACTGCGGACGCGCCGGGCTCAGAGCGCGCTGGCAGGGGGATGTATCACGGCGACGCCGCCCGGAGATCTCACGATATTGCGAACGGCAGCGGACAAAAACCCGTGGCGGGGTCGTGGGAGCGCATCCGAACTCGCTTGTCCGCCGAGCCGACCCATACAAATAGCAGCGCTGACTTTGTTTGCACTTGTCGCGAGCAGGCAGCGGACCGGGGGAATACAATTTGGGGATGCTAAAGTACGTGCCGATTATTTGTCAGCAGTTTTCCATTCTTCCCTTTTTCACGCCCGGACTCTTGCCCCATGACGCCACATTCTTCTCTCAGAGGAAGTCTTTAGACCTCGACCCATCGTGTTCCCTTCCCGCACCCGCCCACCCTGACCCGCTGAGCTCTCCCTCTCCCCCTTTTTCTCATGCCTCGGGCTTCCAGCCCCTGGAAGGCCCAGTGAGCCGTCCATCACCACAGCGCCTTGTTTTCCCGGCCGCGCCGTTCGATGTTGCGTCACGGCGTTTGAGCATTCCTTCTGTGCCGGCCAGGCGCGCCCGGTGCGCCCTCGCCACGCACTCGGCGGCGCGCCGGCCCCGCCGCAGTGAAAGTGAACGGCGCCGCCGGCGCGGGGGACGCGGGATGACCCCAGGTCAACAGCAGTGGTGCCAACACAGGCTCAGAAGGTGGACGACGAGGGGTGCAGGCTTATCTTAGCGGGCAGGCTTGGCGGAGACTTCAGCGCCTGTCCGCTGTGCCGACTCGTGGCGTGGTAACGCGTGCACAAATTGGCGGATACTACGACACTAACTGAGCGTTCATGTGGTCACCATCCAAACTCCACCAGGCACCGGAGAACCAATACAGCTCACTTCAGTGACTGAATTCGTTCAAGTTTCCCCTCGCGCACTGGATCAGCACCCTTTTTCTCGCGTCGGCTCCTAAGTGTGAGCTTCTGACGCCCGCAGCGCCAGGCCCGCCTGATCATTTCCCACCGCTGGAGACCAGCTGGCTCACCTCGACGTCAGAGGGCGCATGACCGCTGCCTCGCCGGGCCTCCCAAGTGCGCTGGCCGGCGCGCGCGGTGTCGTCACCTTACGCGCAGCCGGCGAGGGCGGAGGCGCCGCCGCTGACCCCGCCGCGGCCTTTCCTCTGGCCGTATACGGCGCGGTCAAGGCAGCGCCCGTCGCTGTCGGCGGCGCGACAAAGGCGCCCCCGGCGCGACACCGCGGCGAATGCGGCGCAGGGTGGGGTGCGTGTGCGCGAGCGATGCCCCGAGATGCGCAGGGCATCGCTCGCTGGGCGCGAGAGATGGCGCACAGGGGCGTGGGAGTCGGGCGTCGGTGCCGAGGTTCTAATATGGGGCTGTCTCGCGCCTCCATTGTGTACAGATTCCTAACAGGTACTTGACCTGAATTACCGGGGCAACCTCGCCGAGATGTCGGTGCGTCAAAACCACCTGACATTATCTTTCGTGACTGCCCCTTTATTAGTGCGAAGTCTGGCTCCAGAGTCCGACATGGTAGACGCTGATTTTGCAACTGGCACGATTGCACCAAAGCACACTTCTCAATGAAAGGAATGCCGGCAACCTATCAGTCTCATGCTTAACAGACTCGGTATTGGGCCATATACATCGCAGTTAGGATTCCATCCACGTGCTGAGGCGTGTGTCGAAACACAAGCATTCAACGCAGTCTGAGCTAATCTGATGTTGTCAGAGCCTAAAATCTGCCTCGCACGTTGTAACTAATGCCATGGAAAATAAATGGCATATCTGCACGCGAACCTTAAGAGTCACGCAAGACAATGGGTTCCAGATTGGAATGCCCTTACACAGCCCGGTGATCCTTACACCAGGGCGCCAACCACACAAAGACACAAACCCGTCACCGCCAAGGGCATCTTACTGCAGTCCTCCTTCACGGGCACTGACCAACGCCGGAGGTCCCGGTGCTAAGGATTCCCAACTACGACAGCGCGGAGCGGTGCCTCGGCCTCCTCGCGCGGCAGTGACGCAGAAGTACTGGTCCAGAGTGCATCAGAGCTCATGACTCGACCGTTTCTCCGGAGCAGTGATCATGACCTGAGAGCGCGGTCATTCGTCCCGCCCCACTCTCCCCCGCTCCTGGCCCGGTGGGTGCTCGTGGTCAGTGAACCCGCGGGACGGGCGGCCGTACCGATCTTGACTTTCTGCGGGGCGAGTGCTGTCCCTGCAGACTTAGAGACAGGTTCGGGTGTTGCTTTGCACTAGTCTAGACAAAACAGCTGAGGTCATGGGCACTGTCTGGAGTCAGTAGCCGTTATCACGAAGGCATAGGGGTAAAATACTTAAAGTGTCTCGACACATTGGTTCGAAACATATGCAATTTCACAAGCAGTCAAACACATATTTCTAGCAAAACTTTATAACTCTAACCCTAACTCAAAACTGTCGCTTCTATCGCAAACCAGTCGTGGGAGGCAAGTAACCAAGGCTTGAAATGCTCGGGATATAAATCAGCAGGCAGCTCACCCAGCAACATTTTTTAAGCAATGTTTCGCAACACGTATAACAAGAATTTGTGAAAGCACCCAAGCTTTTGAAAGGCCGATGCATCCTCACGTCAAATCCTCTCCTTTGGCGACATTCTTTCAGAAAAGGAACAGTTCATCTAAAACCCTGCCGTGTGTCACCCCTCTCATTACCGTTTTCATCGGCCTCTCGAGTAATCGTATTATCGTTCATCTATGACCTCGTCGCGAAGCCAGCCCGCCGAACTCTTTCATATGCTGGGGAGGCCAGACAGGGTAGGGTGGCGTGCTTCGAGCATGGTTTCCGCGTCCGAGGTCCGCGCGCCGTCTCTTTTCCAGCTGAGGCCCCGCCGAGGCCCCTCAGTGGAGGGCGGAAGGGGGCGTGGCGCCATTGGCCGGTAGTGACAGACGCGGCCCTGTTATGTGGCGCGGCAGTGACCTCGCACGCCACCGTGACCTTCGCGGCCGCAGCACGCGCCGCATCCGGCTGGGCGACACCCCCAGGGCGCTTGCGTGTCACAAGAGCTCGCCATCGCATTGTCTCGCGAGCAGGACCACCTCCTTCGGCAGCGACGCTGCAGACGTGATTGTTCGTCGTGGCACGAACTCGGAACAACACCCGACGGCGCCTGCTCACAGCACAGGCTCGCGTAGGGATACATGTAAATATATTTTTGTTTCTAAGACTGCACGAGACATTATGCGGCTTGAAATGGTATCGGTATTATTATGGAGAGGATTCGTCAAATGGAAAAGTGAAAAATTGAAAAGAAAAACAGATGACATCTTAAAGCGAAAACATTAGTGCAAACACAAATGGCTGCAACCGAGCTAAAGACCGAACCGCTCTTTCTCTTTCTTTTAACATCTATAACACCAACACCATCTATCACCGATGTATCAAACGCTGCATCAATCTTCTGATAGCAAAACACCCGCAAAAAGACCTCGCCATGATGACGATAGGAAGCACCACTTGGCTAACGCCGTTTTGCGCGTTCCGCTGCTGTTCCGTCCGACAGCACCGGGCGCCGAGCGCGCGCCCCTGCACGGCGACTGTTCCGGCGCAGCGGCGACGAACGCGCCGAGTCACCGCGCCGCCGGCAGACGCGGCGCGGGCGTGTCAGGTAATGAATCCGGCAATGTCGAGCTCTATGTCATGCCGCGGCGGAGGATGCCTGTCGGCGCGGCGCGGTGCCGCCGGCGCCTCCGCCGCCGAACTCTGCACGACCGGGCGTCGGCGTCCCGTCGGTGAGGGGCGTGGGGTGGACCGTGACGGCGCCGACCTCCGCGAGCCGAGTACGTGTGTGAATGGGTGCAGCGCGGCAGACGGACAGGGGCGCACTCAGCGGCGGCCACAGGGGAGGTGCCTCCAAACGTGTGTGGGGCTAGGGGGGGGGGGATGAGGCTAACCATGTGGTGCTCCTCTCGCTGCAAGGGAGGCTTCCATACGTGGAGGTGCGAGCTGTTTCCCACATTGAAGGGGAGAGTATGTGTTCCCGTATGTGAGGAACGTGCGCCCCGTATGAGACCGCTGCGTATAGCAGGG